GGCGGCCAGCCGTTGTGGCCGTTAGAACCGTTGGTCGCCAACAGCGTGACTGGGCGGTGGGCGCTGTGCCGCCTGCAGGTGCCTCGCAAACCCGAATCCCTGCCCCTCTCCCCAAGCGCATCCCGACCGCGGGCCGCTTGTGCTGACGGGGGCTCCCCTCTCCTCCAGCCACCCAGCTGCTGAAGGCCCTCATGGCCCGGGAGGTCCGGCCAGCGCTGCTGAAGGGCTTGGTTGCGTTACTGACGCCGCCCAGGAAGAAAGCATTCACCTTCTGCGACGAGACCGCCAAAGGTAAAAGAGCTGAACCAAGGCCTCCCAGTACGCAGCAGGCCATGGCCTGCCAGGGCGACTGGGGGCTGTTTCTCCCAAGGTCCCTCATCTCCTTCTGCAGGGCTCAGCCATCACCCTGACTCATAGGGCCTCCCCTGTGCAGGGGGCACAGCGGGGGTTGCCCGGGTCAGGGCACTGCTTGCCTGCAGCACTAATGCTAGCATGCAGGCCTCCAGAGACCTGCTGAGGTCTGCTGGGCAAGGATGATGAACAATTCCAGCCCCAGGTGTTTCCTTCCCAGACTCAGCAGAGCAGGCTGCAGTGGCCCAGCCTCTCTGAGCTGTGGGCATCATGCACACAGATCCTTGCAAGGTACTACATACCATATGTAGCCACAGGCATGTTACCTGAAAAACTACCTCCTCCTTTCATGCTAGCAGTGTAACTCTACCTCCCCTCCCTTCTAACATCTTAGAAGTGTTTCAAAGCATCGTTCTCACCTTCCTGACGTTCCTCACACAGACCCAACTGCACTTTGCCTGAGGGAGCCCATGCTGGTGTACAGTCAGCAGGCAGCTGCCGCAAAAGTCATTGGGTAAGAAACTCTGGAGCAAAACCCACAGGAGCATAAAAGGGACCTTAGAGAAATGGCTTACTTTGGGTAGGAAAGGAGTGGGATGCTTTCCTCCCAGGGAGCATTCATGCCCCAGCTGAGTACCCCAGCTCTGCCAAGCCTCCAGCCCTCGGCTGTTGGGAGATGGAGTGTGTAGTGTCCTGCCACAGTGCAGGGCTGAAGGGTGCTGTACTGCTCATGGCCACTGTATTCTCCACATAGCTGGGAGCCACAGCCAGCAGGGAAACATCCTTATTTAACATCAGCCCCCCAATGGAAGGATCTAGTGCCCATGACTGACTGCAGACTCCTTAAGGAAATTCAGCCGATTGTGCTAAAATTGGTTCATTCAGTATGAATTTCCTGCAATGTCCACAAGATAGTGCTGTCAGAACATTTTTCCCGCAAAAGCAGCTGACAGAAAATACTTGGTGAGTGGGGAGATGTACTGGAGTGTCTTCCAGGGACGTGCTCTCAGAAGTAATGGTGGTGGTGTCTGAGTCCTGGATTCTTTATGGTCACACAAGAAACTTCCTAGACTGTAATACACACCAGGAAGCTCCTGCCAATCATTAAACAATTGGTTTTCACTAAGCCCACACCTAAAATGATCGCTAATCCATGCACAGCCAAACATTTATTGTTTATTTTGAGACTCTCCTGTCAGTCAGTGCCAGACCCACTTTGATGTTTGCTGCTTCCCCCGTATGGGCAGGGGCTGACGGCCTATCTCATTGCAGCGTATTAGCCAAGGAGTCAGCAGAAGTGGCTGAAGAGCTGATCCAGCTGAAAGCAGTACATGGCCTGATGGTTGCTGTGGGAAACCTGGATCACGTGGCCAGCCAGAGGCATGCCAGCAGCTCCCTGGAAGTGAGCATGGTGGTACATGGCAGCGGACATCACAGCATGGGGTCTGCTCCCACAGTACCTGAGCAGAAAGGCTCCCTACACCATGTTTGGTTTTTTTTTTCCCTAAGCATAGCAGACAGGCTCATTCACAAAGGCAGGAGTGACACTTCCTTCAGGAAAGAGCTGTGTTTCCCCTCCTCTCTGCCTCCCTGCTGGCACTCACAGGGTTCTACCCCCAGGCTTGCTGTGAGTAGCAAGCACAGACAGAGCTAAGGGGCTAACCAAGACAATTTGCCTGGTGCAAGACACTAGCACGGAATTATAAGCCGGCTATTTTTTCCTGCTGGTGCCAGGTAAAGAGTTTTGGCCTGCCTCAGCACAGCTCTGCCTTCTTAACAGCCACAGGGAAGGACCATGCTGTCAGTAGGCGGGAAGGGCTGAATGAGTGATAGCTGAGAAGCGGGCTGCTCAGGGTGAAAGAGGGTTTACAAACCTACCTGGTAATGCAGAGTCAGTGCACCCTTCCTCTGAGCAGGCACTGACAGCACAGCCGGATGAACTCCCTGGCGACTGCTACACCGCAGGCGTTTCACTGAAACGCCCTCCCTCCTCTCTTCAGTGAAGGTGGGAATTGGCACTGGGGGAGGGTGGGGGTGGGACAAGGTGAGGCTTGAGCAGGGACCCACAAGCTCCTCTTGGTGTGTTCATGAAGAGCCATCAGTAGCAACAGTGCTAATGGAGGTGGATCAGGGACTCACTGGCATGTGACACGGGCTATCTGGAGCCATGCTATCCATGCAGCTCTACCCCCTGTACAGACACCCACATCCCTTCTCCCTACACACCAACTCTCTGTTCTGTTGCAGTATTTTGTCCACACGTTTCCCTTTGTGGAGGAGTACGTAAAGAAGGCACTAGGACACGCACTGTTCCAGCACTTTATGGTAAACACGCCTCCCTTACGGGGTTTATTAGCAGCCCTAGGACCTTGGTGTGTTTTGCAGGGATGTAGGGACTGGATTTCTTTTTACAAGAAATCCAGTCTTGCATGAGATCCCAGAAATAAACTGAGCCACCCTTTGAGAAGTGTTCACCTTCAGCCTCAGCATTCAGGAAGATAACTGCTCTGACTCAGCCCCAAGACAGAGCAAGGAGGGATCTCTGACAACTGCTGCTTCTGTGACAGTGGGAACTTTATGTCAGAAGTGTGAGCTGAAGGGCCCTTGAGGCAAGAGGTGACTTGAGCTCCTCCAAATCAGGTCTCTGCTGACTCCAGCAGAGTAGTAAGCAGCGTTAGGTCCAGGGAGAGAATGTGCAACAAACAAGGGGCAATGTCTTGTTCTTGCACCCAGGCCCATCCTTACTCACCCCAAGACAGCACTGGGCAAGGCTGGATAATCCAAGTGTAGTAACACCAGAAAGGGAACAGGACTGCCTTGCTTTAGTCCAAACTCAGTAGGGCATAACAACCCTTTAGCTCTGGATGTGCCATCTTAGTAGGATGCAGGCAGGGCCCCAGTACAAGTCAGCTTTGGCAGTGCAGAGGCCTTTAGCATGCTCAGCTCCACACTGCTTCCCATACCCAAACAGTTGATCACAAAGTGCCCCAGCTGTGAGGGAGGATCCTGTCAGGGTTGAAGTATCCCCTTCCCTAGCTGCTTGTCTGCTGCTTGCTCACATACTGTTAAGATCCTAACTCTTGTGCTGCCTTTTCCAGGACAGTCCCGAGACCTGGTACACAAAAATGGATCCAGTCCATGCTGAAGAACTCGCCTCCAAAATAGCAGACATCGCCAGAGATACAGCAAGGATGCAGTCCACAGGTGCATGCAGAGCTGGGAGCACAGACACTTAAATCACACCCTTTACTTTCAGGGGGAGAAGGCAGCTCAGGAAGCAGGAGCCTGGTGGGGGGGGGTCTAGGGAAAAAGGGAGTAACAGTAGAAAGATCCCTTTGTAATCCAATGTTTGTATAGCTGCATCCTGTGTTGCTGGACCTAGAGCTCACAGGGCTGTTTTGTCCTTTCAGAGACAAACCCTGGAGTGAGCTGAACAGACAGGAAAGAGGGCAGCAGCCTGTGCCTCCCAGCTGTCCTCCCCCACCCCATCCCTCTGCCTGCTTCTTCCCACAGGGCAGGTTGTGTGGGGCCACCTGGACCCAGGTTGCACACAAAGACCATGGCAGCACCTTGCTGCACCTCAGCCAGTGGCCAGCTTTGCACTTCTGCCCTCAAACACAGATGCTGGTGGGCTACTGAACATGTATATTTTGTGGCATGTTAGTCATGGGAAATGTGTGTGAAAAAATGTGAAGTAACACCCCAGGGCTATCTTCAAAGCCTAATTAAACTCCAGTGGTACAAGGGAATGTCTCAGGGCCCTTCCTACTTACCTGGTATCATGAGAGCTGAGCCATTTGTTATAGGCTAAGCTTTGCTCAGGTGTAGGATAGGTACCCTCTAAGCCAGCTTGCCCCTTGCTAGGCAAGTCCTACCCAGCAAGAGCTCAAAATTAAGAGGCAAAAATTTATTTTGAGTGATTTTTATATAAACATTACAAGTGTAAAGACTTTAAAAAGAAACTTCATTCAAGAAATCAGCCTATCTCTACAACAACAGCCAGTCTTTAGGGGCTGTTAGACTTTGTCAAAATCAGCAAGAAATATATTTTATAAGATAGAAGATAATTAAATCCAGGAACATTTATTTATCAAACTTCTTAAAATACTGATTTTTTACAATTACATATATCCATTTTCTTTCTAGAAAGCCAGACTTGCAACAGTTTTGCAATGTTTCAAGCACATCTGGAAAGGTTATATGTACACTAGAAAACTATATATCTATCTCTGTGAGAGGAGACCATTGTCACCAGCAAAGGGCCAGATGCCAGACACATCCAGCAGACTCTCAGGCCCCCCTCCCCAGGCCTCGCAGGGGGTCTGTTTCTAGCACTCTGCTGAGTACTCTGATACCAGGCCATGAAGAGAGAGAGGCTGCTGCATTCCTTGCCCTCAGGCATGCACAACCTGTGGACACTCCACCACATTTAGAACAGGAGTTACACAAACGACCGACAAACATGCAAGACATACAGAAGACTGCTTGTGAACTAAGTTTTGCTGTATTTGCTAAGGCCTCTGCCGGTTCATCTGCTTGCTGGCTTGCTCCTCCAGTTGCATGGCAGCCCTCAGGGCATCCAACGTTTCTGTAAAGAAAGACAGTGACAGGGTGACTGACCTGGAAGCTGAACTCCCCAGCCCAGCTGCCCCCCTCAGCAGGGCTCTGCAAGGGTCACAGAGGGAAGCAAATTGGGCAAGAACTGCTCAGCCAACATCAAATCCTGTCTAGTCCCACAAACCTCTTCAGCTGTACTTGTTAATTCCTACTTATCAACAGTTTCAAGCCTGCAGTTTGCAGTTAAACTAGATGCCACTAATCCAGCCATCCTGCAGGGCCAGGTTTCCCTGGCCTGTAAGGCAGAGAGGGTAGCAGGGCATTTAACCTTCTCACCACCCCTCCCTGGTGAATGGAGGGATACAGCTGCATTTGAGATGGGAGGACAGTCAGGGCTGTTTAAGCAAAAAGTCACTACTTCAGGTTAACAGTTCACTTCAATGCCACAATTTTCAGCCTCATTTAAAAAAAAAGCAAAAACAAACCCACAAAAACCCAAACAAATCCTCACAGCCCTGTTTTTGAGACAAAGACCACACCAGCTGTAATGGCTCAAGTATTCATCAAAGCCCAAGTTACTGCAACAGCGGCAGATAAGCAGCAGGTACCAGTGTAGCTTCCCCTGTCCCAGTCAGGCAGTCTGTGTACCTGGCAGTCTGTTCCCAGGCATCAGCCAAGCTCACACATCTGCCCTGCTGCCTTTCTACCACCACTTCAACCAGCATCGTCCAAAGTCAGGCAGTGCTCAGGGAACAGGCAGCTGACCTCTTGTCTAGACTGTACTCTTGCCTAGAAATGTTGGACCAGATGATCCTTGAGGTCCTTTCCAACCTGGTACTACATGATCCTCCTGCACAGAGCTGGGAAGCCTCCAAATTGGGTCAGAACCAAACAGTTGGAGGGATTTTGTTGCACGTTAAGTAATGCCCAATACTAAGGCAAAGGCATGCCAAACAGGTACTGGCAGAGGCAGTATCTCAGAATATGCCTGGCAGACACTTGTTACAAGCAGATGGGTGTGGAGGCCTGATATCCATGAAAACAAGAGTGGAAACGGTGGGCCCTGCACATGGCTAGAGTCTCTAGAACATGGCACTGGGACCTATTTATCAAAGTCTGGTTTTTGGCCAAGGTAAAATGTAAACTCCATAGCCAACTAGCCAAACAGACTTCAGCTCGTCTGCACTTGGTAGATATTGTGTTCTGCTCAAGAGAAGGCAGTTTTATATGGCAGTACAAGCAAGTGGAAATTACTAGCCAAAATTTTACTTTTGAAAGTGTAGACAATAGGACATTTTGGATCTTTCCCTGTAATCACCTAGGAAAGTGACCCAAACCATGAGCACCCAGTCCTTCTGCACAGCTTAATCGCCCAGGTATGCTAGTGTTACTATCAGGTCTTTAGCGGGAAAAAAAACCCCAAAATACCATTAGTGACAGTGCTAATCAGAAACAGGCACTAACTCACCTCTGACATTAAAGAAGTTTCTTGAGCTCTCCTCTACAAAGTACTTAGCTCTGCTCACAAAGGTCTCGAGATCATAGTCTGGTTGCTCCGTGATTCCCAAGAGGTAGTCAAGTTCAGTCATCATTCTCTATATTTACAAGAGTAACAGTGATGAGAAATTGACTTTCTCGAAAACTAGTTTCTTCAAATCTGGCACACCAACCAACCGAGCTGAGCTTCTACAGACCAGTACTGGTCAGTGCTCATTAGCAGCAGGTGGAGGTTGCTAGTTGGAGGGGAAGGGGGACCAGCTGGCCACAAGCACTGAAATGTCCCAGTTTAACCAGCTGGGCAGGAAACCACAGGAAAGAAGTTGGCAGTGAGGAATAAGTACCACTGCTGACAGCACCTTGCAGTACAGCCTGCAGTGTACCCAGCAACACTTGGCTTGGACAAGGCAAGGTGCTATCAACATGTAGAAGGCAGCCTGGGCTGGGCTTGCCTCTTCCACGTACCTGTCTCAGTTCTCTAAGCTGTTCTACAACCTTCTCTTCCCCTTCACTAATTTGAGTCACAGCCTCACGAAAGTTGAACATGTGGGGAGAGATATCTTCCTCCTCATCCTTGGAGAGCTGCAAGAAACAGCCCGAGTAAGAACAGCAAGTTGTTTCCAGCTTTGAGACCCATTCACCCCACCGCACACACATACATTGTGACCTGAGCCTTCTCCACTGGTCTCCGTTTCCTCATTCTCAGTCTCCATCTGATTCTGTGTTTCATGAGGGCTAAGCTCTTTGACTCTGCAACAAGAGGATTTGTCACTCAAGCTCTTCTTCCAGCAGTTTCTGGGCTACAGCATCACAAAACAGCTACTGCAGTCAATCAGTGCTCAGCAAGAAACATTCAGCTACACTTAAAAAGTTGCACATTACCACCCCCAGGACAAGCTCACATGGGCAGAAACCCCTGAGGGCTCTGGGACGGAAAGCTGGGAGATGTTTGTCTCCATGCCCAATCTAGGACCTCTCCTGGAAAGAAACATCCAATTACACAACACTAATTGCCAGCAACACCTTTTACAGAAGCTGCCTTCCACATATCAGCTTGGTCTGTTACGACTAACTAAGAGAACTTAATATGGAAAGAAATGGAGAGTAAGGTAAATTTTTTTTCCCCAGAGACCCACTGCGCCAGACTAGGTTGATAATAAGGATAAAAGCCATGGCCGATGATATGGTACTAGAGACAGACATCAGATACCAGGTGGGCATTTCATTCTAGTTACTAGCATCAGCTTCATATTTCCAATGAGTTTCAGCCTAATACCCGCTTTCTTACAGCTCAAACTTGCCTTGTGCAGTGGCTAAGAGCCCAGTGGGCCCAACTCAAGGTTAGAATCTTACCAAAGCAGGCCAAGTCAGATGTTGCATTTTATCCTGTACTTTCAGGTGAGCAGGAAGGACCATCCACCAGAAGACAAAAAATGCAACTTCAAACCAGAACCAAATCTGGGAATCTGTCAAGATTCACAGTGTTCCTGAATGCTTATGACAAGAACTACCATACATCCTCTTTCAGAGTGTGGAATGCTTTCCAGGAAGGAACCAAGCGGCCTTTCGTGAACTAAATGAAGGAATGCTACCAAGCCTGAAATGTGTGTCGTCTTGTTAACATGTGACAAAAGTCACACAGTCTTCTTTTTACTTGTCACCTCACTGGAGAGGCATAGATGCACGGAAAGCAGAGACCAGGGGACACTCACTGCTCTGCCTCAGGGTTCCAGGTATCAGCAAGACCCCCAGGGGAAACCTGAAGCTTGGTCCCTGCAAATCTACCTTGCCCTGCAGGTACCCAAGGTCAACATGGGGCACTCGAAACACACACTCCCACCATCTGCTTTGAGGCATTTGAGTTCTCCAGGTCCTTTAGATTTTACCCAAAGTCTCCAAGGTGCCATGCCCTATTAGTTCATATCAGAGTCCACCAAGAACACCAGGTGTTTTGTCTCATCTGTAGGGCCATGTCAGGGACACATTCTTAGCACACCATATACAGATGGGACCCAAAGGACTACAAAAAGTAGAGGGCATAGAGGTAACCACTCAGGACAGAGTGAACTCCCTACAAAAACCAGGCCAGTCTGAAGTCTAGCATGATAGACTCCTCTGACAAAAGTAGACATTAGTCACATTTTAATACAATCTCTATTATCTCTCACATGGAGAACACCCAGGTTAGTTTCATAGGACAGCTCTGCCATTACAGGCAGTGACAAGAGAACTTTTGGTCAGAATAAAAGCAGCCAAAACACCTTCTGCAACAAGAGTAGAATCCCCAGGTCAGAAAGGCCATTACCTGTCAGCGTATCTCAGTGTGTTTAAGGTGTACTCGCACGAACTCATGCCTGGAGAAATCATTGCTATC